AGAAGAGAGAGAGAGAGAGAGAGAGAGAGAGAGAGGAGAGAGAGAGAGAGAGAGAGAGAGAGAGAGAGAGAGAGAGAGAGAGAGAGAGAGAGAGAGACTGCGTGTTTATGTGTTTGTTCTTTTGCGAATGATAAGTGGCTTACCTGCAAGCCTGTTTGTGGGCCCGTACGCACATGTTTACATTCCTGTGTACTAGCGATTCGATAAACAAAATGTAAATTTGTCGTCATTTCTTCTTTATCTTTGATCCTATGTTAGCCATATAAATAGTTACCGTTGTATACGGTAATGAGGTTCTTATCGCCATTGTTTGTTTTTGTTTCAAACATTGATTTAAGTGTGGTAAAAATAGCACTATTTTTTATTCTCCTTATTTAACGCTCTCTTTCTTTCTCTCACTCACTCACTCACTCACTCTCTCTCTCTCTCTCACTCCCACTCTCTCTCTCTCTCATTCCACTCTCTCACTCCCACATCTCTCATCTCTCACTCCCACTCTCTCTCTCTCTCACACTCCCTCTCTCTCTCTCACTCCCCGTCTCTCTCTCTCACTCCCACTCTCTGCTCTCTGTCTCTGTCTCTTGTCTCTCTCCTCTCTCTCTCTCTCTCTCTCTCTCTCTCTCTCTCTCTCACTCCCACTCTCTCACTCTCTCTCGATCAAAACAAACCGCCGATAGACTGGCAGTGACCCATAAATCAGCGCTAACGGCGTGAGTGTCAACGAGCGACGCGACGCGAACAAACAACAACACAAACAGTCGTGTGCCAAGAGAATCTGCGCTGTGGAGTGCATGACGTCAGGAGCTCGCCGCCAGCACGTCCTCGGACTCGGCGGTCGAATACGAAACGAACTCGACATTTCCTCGAGGGAATGGAGAGGCTGGAATTGGGTGGTGGGTGGGGTGGGTGGGTGTGGGAGGGGAGGGGGAGCCTCATATGGCACGGCCCGCATCACACGGTTCACATGCATCACATCACGCGACACGCATCACTCGGCTCGCAATCACACGACTCAATTCACTCGACTCGTACCACGTGACCCGCATCACACATATATCATATCAAACAACTCGCATCATTCATATCACACGAATTATCACCAAAATCGCATCACACGACTTAAGCCACACAACTCACATCATTCGACATGACTCCAGTCACACTACTCGCAGCATTCGACTCCCATCACACGACTCACATCGTCTGACTCGCATCACACAACTCATGCCACACTACTCGCATCATTCGACTCACATTACACAACTCGCATCACCCGACTCGTCAGCATAACAAGGAAGGGAAATTTGCCGTTGGCGAGTCGAGGCGCTTCCTCTGGTAAATCTTCACGCATCTTTAACTTGTTTTTTTTTCCCCTAGATATGTTGGCTTTAAAGGAACAAGTACAGTACTTCTCTGGCCACAGCGTCTTCCTTGGATGTTGAAATTCTCTCTCTTTCTCTAGTCTCTTTCTCTCTTCTATCTTCCTCTCTTTCTCTGTCTATCTTCCCCTCTTTCTCTGTCAATCCTCCTCTTTCATCCTTCCCATTAACTTATCCACCCTCTTTCCCTCTCCTTCCCCCTTCTCCGCCTCTTTCAACTGAAATGCAAACCCTTGACCCCGTATGCTTGTAAATTCTAAACCTTAAGTGCCACAAATAGTACTTGTTAACGTTGTAAAGTTGCTGCCTAAGGTATGTGAACCCTCCCAGGGACTTATTCAGATGGGGAAGAGGATTGCCAAGGATGCCTCTTCCTTTGGAGATGCAAACACTTGTCCAGATAAACTTGTTAAAATCAAAACGTCTCTCTCTTTTCTCCTTTTTTTTTGGTATCATTATTATTACTATTGGTTTTGTATTACTATTATCATTTTTTGTTTTGTTTTTTGTTATCATAATTATTATTATTATTGTTGTTGTCGTTGTTATTACTATTATCATCATCTTCAATATTCTTATTATTTAGTTATTATTATTATTATCATTATTATTTCCATTATCATCCTCATCATCTTTATTCGGAATGCTCTTCTTCTTCCCGTTCCAATCCATGTCCCTGTCCCCCTCCTTTTCGTCTCCTTCTCTATTCTCCCTCATTCTCACCTTCCATTGCTTCTTCTTATCTCCCTCTATCTTTCTCACCCTCTCGACCTATCTCCCTCTCCTCCTTCTTTCCTACTTCCCCCCTCTCTCCTATCTCCCCCTCCTCTCTCTTTCCCACCCCCCCCCCTCTTCCTATCTACCCTCCTCTCCTTTCTCACTTCCCCCTTCTCTTCCTACCTCCTCTCCTTTCCCACTCCCCCCCCTCTCCTAATCTCCCCTCCTCTCCTTCTCACTTCCCCTTCTCTCCTATTTTCCTCTCTCCTTTCCCACTTCCCCCTCTCGTCCTATCTTCCCCCGTCTCCTTCTTTCTCACTTCCCCCCTCTCGTCCTATCCCCCCCCCCTCTTTCTTTCCCACTTCCCCTTCTCTCTTCCTATCCCCCCCTGCTTCCTCCCCCCT